GGCACTGGGCTCCAGAGCCCATGCTGCTGACCTGGGCCTACTGTTGAATGCTTCTCTCGGGGNGGCACTGGGCTCCAGAGCCCATGCTGCTGACCTGGGCCTACTGTTGAATGCTTCTCTCGGGGCTCGGGTCCTAGTTGGAGAATATGAAACCTGTTCTGGCCTGGAGGCCTCTCAGCTGCTCTGTGACCTTGGACTGTAGCTCAGCCTCTGGAGCCACTGAGCAAGGCCTAGAAAACTGTTTTCTTCCTCTTACCTCATCGTCACCAGCCTGAGTGTTGGGTTAGATTTTTCTTCCACTGGATTTGGAGATGGGGGCTGGGAAGATGACCAGGGTCAAGGAGGCCACATTGCCTTACACTGCTGGGAAAGAGCCACACCAAATCAATCAGGTGATGCTTTTTTTGAATTATGAATTCTGTCCCCAGCACACACACACAAAAAAAAGCAAAACAAAAGCAACAAAAACTATGACATTTAGTAAATGTGACAATGATGGTGACCCTGGGCTGATGTCTGCTCTGGCATAGAGTGAGGAGCAAGCAGGCAGACACATGGGGACAGGTGGAAATGCCCACTCAGAGCAGCTCACTGCTGAGCAGAGCCCCTGTCTGGCCTGGGGCAAGTGGCCACCAGCAGGCACCCTGCAGGTGTGGGAGCTTCCCCAGGGCCAGAGCCACCTGCTGGTCACCTTGTTTGTCCCTCACTTTTTCCTTCAGAAGTTCTCCTCCCCACTGTAAGGACAGGAAGTAACACTCAAAGAGGGGAAGTCATTTACCAAGGCCACTGTCACCAGGGGGCAGGGCTGGCTCATGCTGGGCTTTGGTGCTTTCCTTGGGTTGTGACCTCAGGTCAGGGCTCCTTCCTGGACCCCGCCTCGTTGCTCTGGGTCAACAAGGAGGAGCAGAAATGGTGTGAGATGAGCTGGGTTGGGGGGTCCTCCCTCTCCCTGCCTCACACTGACTGCTCCCACCCACACACCCTTCCAGAACCATCAGGATGCCGCCTCCAGTCCTTTCCTGAAGGCTTGGCCTCCGTGTCTGTACCTGAGGGCTCCAGTCCACCCTCTGCAGCTGGCCTGCCCAGCTCAAGGCTTTGGGGSTGCAGGGTGCTGCCTGCAGTAGCAGCCCAGGGGGAGCACGTTTTGGACCCCTGAGGTTTTCAGGAACAGGCCAGGAAATAGAGGGAACCCAGCAGGAAGCTTGGGGTCACTGTCAGGGCCTGGGTCTGACATCCATGAAGCCTGGATCCCACAGGCAAAACTGTCTCAGCCCCTGGTCCCAGAGGAGAAAACCAAGGATTGTTCCACCTTTGCCTCAGCTTCTCTGTGCAGCCTTGGCCAGGCC